AAAAGATAATTATAAAGTTAAAGTAGAAAAAAAACTACTTATCTTTCTCAAAATAAAAAAAAATAACTATTATTCTGGGATAAATTCTAAATAAAAAATATCAATTATTCTGAGATAGAGAGAGTATACTAATTTTTTTGTTAGAATATATTTACTAACAAATATAAAACAAAATTTTAAAATAAAATAAAAAACTTACGAAACTTTAAAGTTGAAACCCAATATGCAATACATAATTCATATAAAAAAAGATAGTGTTGTTTTTAATTTTTACCAAGAAGTTAGTGATCCCTTTGGTAGTCCCTTAATTTATCTTCAAGCTTTTAATAAATAAAGCAGTGTTGCAGTGGCTTGCATCGAGCCATCGACGGAGTTTCTTTTTTTTTTCTTTTTTCTATTTTTTTTAAGTTGATTAGTTGAAGGAGATTGACACGAGAACAGTAAGGCTAGATATTGGAGAAATGACATAGAAGACACAAGAATTTTTTTTTTTTTTTTTTACAAAATTCAGTTGTGGGCCTTAAGATGGGTGAGTTTTAAATAATAATAAATAGTTAAATTGTTAAAATGAATAATTGATTATATAGATTATATTTGGACTCTTAAAATAATCTATTATTATTGGATTTTTTTTTATTTTATGTATTTTAACAATTAAAAATATAATATTTAAAATTTTAATAATAATAGTAAATTATTAATTAATTATATTTTTTTTTTTCAAATCTGGTCTCCATGTGACTCCACCACCGGTAAATATTGAAAAGATCTACAAATTCTTTTTGACTATATCATGAAAGGCACTAGGGGCGATAAAAGATAGATAAAATATCCAAATTCAACATCAAAGTATAGTAGTAGAGATAGATTCATCCCGAACAAAAAATGGAGACAATTCCACCCACAAAGTTTTTGATTTAAATAAATCACCTCAAATTTAACGTGTGAAGTTATCTATGTCAGTAATCCATTAATATCTTATGTCAACAATCCGTTAATTTGACATCATTTGATGTTAGCAATCTGCTATTATCTACATAACAAATTAACGAATTATTTACGTTAGATGACGTCACACGTTAAATTTGAAATGATTTGTTAAAGTCAAAAACTTTAAATTATCTTATAAGTAGATTTTATTTTGTAATTAAGCGATTCTGAGGGTTTGACTGTAAAACCACAAACTAAATCAATTTTATCAATTTTATAATTTTATAATTCAAAT